ATCTGATTAGTTACTTCAGCCACTTCCTCCCTTTTCCTGAGCCCAACTGGACAATCTTTCTGTAAAGCTACCCTGCACCATAGCTCTGACTCTCATCTTCCTCTATTTTCTCCCCTTTTCACCTTGCACTCTTTCTAAGCTCATTTTGTTCATGAGATCCAGCTTCTACTGCCTCAACCCTCTTCCCACCAAACTGCAGATCTCCAAACTTCCCTTCTATGGTTCCTATGTTGGCTGATATTGTTAATCGTTCTCAAATTCAAATCCGTTGTCATTGCTGCTCTCCGCAAAAATCCAACAATTGACCACTCAATTCTTGCAAACTATAGCCATATCTGCAATCTCTTTTTCCACCCCAAAGTCCTTGAAAGTGTTGTCACCTGCTAAATTCATCCAGTTTGGTGGGGCTGTACACACTGGTTCCATTTCTCTATTATAAGCAAAGATCCACATTGCAGGGCATACTAGCAACTAGTGTTGAAAGGCTGCCGCAAGGACAATTTGCTCATGGTCAACTGCCCAACTCATAGACTGGACCAGGCTGCATCTCAGGGCTGCTCACTTGCTGTCTCCGTGTCTACCTGTATGCTCACAGTATCATGTTTGACCTTGCCTGCCAAACCTGTTGGCATGTTGGCACTTTAGCCAGAGCCAAAAGCTGTCAGTACTGCTGTATTCACATTTTTTTTTGGCAGACAACGAACAGGCTCCTTATCAGTAGGGATCCATCTGTGGGTGGTGACGTCTTGCTGTATGACACACCAAAATATCAACTTAAAATCTGCAGCTTGTGCCAGCGACCTGGATGGGAAACATATTGCATGTTTATTCAGCCAAATGGCCATGTCATAAAACTGGTGGGGGTAGTCCTGAGTTAGGTGAAGACTGGTGTTCATTAGGGGGTCCAAATACCATCAGTCATGGGCACAGTTTGCACACAGTCCATGGCTCGGCCTTGGTCGGTTGTCTGATTGGTCAGCTGTTATGTCTGACTGCAGTCCAGGGAGTGGGTAATGGTCAGTCCCTTAGAACCAGCATCTACAGTCAGGGAAATCGTGTATCAGCAGGGGAACTGCAAACATAACAATCAAGGTCTGGTCAGTCATGTGTAGGGGATGCTCGTCAAAGATGATCAGATATCTGGATGATCACAGTCCTGTGGATCAGTCTGTTCAGGAGTGTGAAAGGCGGGGGGAGGGGCCTGTAGGGGATAGTGAGGGCTGACTGCCAGAAAGGGTGGAAGAATCGAGGCTCATGGAGGGAAAGGGGCACAAGGAAAGTATCAGAGGTACTCAAGCTGTATGTGTGGATGGGTAGGTGGAAAAGCATCGGATGGTATGCTAAGCTACAGAATGGGATGATTATCGTCAATTACGACCATGATGTCCTCCATAGTGGTAGCATAGAGCTCCTGTGTATCGTTAAAATGTAATGTCAGGGGTCAGGGAGGACCGTTAGAGGCGAGGTTCAATGTTTTGGGTCTCCACGTGGGGAGGATCGGTGGAAATGGGCTGGAGATAAAAATTAGTTGACTTTTTTTCCCCTTAGAGTGTTGTTGTAAGTCTTTGAAACTCTCTTCCTCAATGTGGTGAAAAGATGGTGAAGGCAGAGTCCTTGAATATTTTTAAGGCAGTGGTAGAGAGATTCTTGCTAAGCAAGACTGTGAAAGGTTATCAAGGCAGGTGGAAATGTGGGTTTGGAGTTCCAATTAGATCAGCCATGATCTTACTGAATGGTGGACCAAGCTCGATTGGCTGAATGGCCTACTCCTATTGCTAATTCTTATGTTTGTATGGAACATCCAGCTCAACGTCACTATCACCTCTCTTGACTTCTCAACTGTTGCAAACCTACCAGGCATTTTCCCAGGGTGGAGGGGTTGATTACTAGGGGACACAGGTTCAAGGTGCGGGGTAACAAGGTGTAGAGCTGGATGAACACAGCAGGCCAAGCAGCATTAGAGGAACAGGAAGGCTGACGTTTCGGTCCTCGACCCTTCTTCAGAAATGAAGAGGTGCGGGGGATGTGCGTACAAGAGATGAGCGAGGCACGTTTTCCACACAAAGGCTGGTGAGTCCCTGGAACATGCTGGCAGAGGAGGTGGAGGAAGCAGACACAATAGCAGCATTCAAGAAGCACTTGGATGAATACATGACTAGGAAGGGAATAGAGGGATACAGATCCTGTAAATGGAGACAGTTTTAGTGTGGAAGGAGAAAATATGTTAGCACAGGCTTAGAGGGCCGTAGGGCCTATTCCTATGCTGTATTGTTCTTTGTTCTACCAAACTGCTTATCCAGTACTGGATGAGCAAGAAGTTTCTCCACTTAAACATCTGGAAACACAAAATTCATACATACAAGCTCCATTCCCTAGATATTGATTTTATCCCTCTCTCTGGTCCTCAGACTGTTTCCAATGCTGGTGTTATATTTGACCCTACGATGATCTTCTGGTGATATATTCACACCATCACATGGACAGTTTATTTCCAGATCTGTATCATCAGATGACTTCATTCCTGGCTTAGTTTATTTGCTACTGAAACCCTTATCCGTGCCTTCTTATTAATAGACTCAATTATTCCAATGCACTCCTGAAAACCTCACTTGTCTCTTTACTTGTACCGAGCTCCGTTCATCCATCATCCTCATACTTGCTAAGCTATATTGACTCTTGATTAAATGCTTTAATTTAAAAAAAAACTTCACCCTTGTTTTTACAACTCTCTATTTTTGTAATCTCCTCCAGCCACACAAAAGTCACAGAGTAGAGTCATGAGCACGGAAACAAACCCTTCGGTCCAACTAGTCCATGGTGACCATGTTCCCAAACTAAACTAATCCCACCTGTCTGCATTTGGCCCATATCTCTCCAAAGCTTTCCTATTCATGTATTTATCCAAATGTCTTTTAAATGTTGTAACTGTACCTGCAGTTCCTCTGGCAGTTTTTTCCACACACTAACCACTCTCTCTGTAAAAGAAAAGTTGTCCCTCATGTCTTTTTTGAATTTTCTTCTCTTACCTTAAAAATATGCCACCTAGTTTTGAACTCCCCCACCTCAGGGAAAAGACTTTTATTATTGTCCTTATCTATGCCCCTCATGATTTTATAAAACTCCATAAGGTCACCCCTCGACCTCCTATGCTCCAGTGAAAAAAGTCCCAGCCTATACTTATGACTCAAACCTTCTATTCCCAGCAAAATCCGGATAAATCTTTTCTGAAGTCACAGATGTCTCTGCTCCTCTAACTCTAATCCTGTTCTCTTGAACATCCCCAATTTTAACCATTCTAGTTGCTGTGCCTTTATCTGCTAAGGCCATAAGATTTTTATTTCTCTCACTAAATCCTCCCACTAAATCTACCCTTCTACCTCCTTAAAAAGTACCTTAATTGATTCATGCTTTCAATCACCTGCCCAGGATGACCACTTCTGAGGAAATAAAGTAAGAGATACTTTGCTTGTAGAGGGGTTGGTGCTGGTGAAACAGTAAGCAGATATACTGGCAGGATGGGGGTGGGGTGGGTGCTCAGGTACTGGTGGGGTTGCAGAGAAAGTGGGCATGGGTTGCTGGTGAGACTTTGGGGTGGCGGGACGGGGTAGGGGGACCATCTGCCAGGGCTGGTGGGAGAGAAGTGGTGAGACAATAGGTGGGGAACAGTTGGTGAAAAAGTCCAGTCACTCAGGTGAGATTTGAGCTCCAGATGCCAATCTCGGATCTTCATCTCCCCGCTCACCAAGCCTCCTGAGTGAATGTTCCAAGAGCTTCGTGCCTGCTTTTTCTCCATGAATGAGCCTCAGATGACACTCCACAAGTGAGCTTCACGCCTGAACTATTCAACAAGTCTCAATTATGTTGTGTTGTTACTCTGCTGCTCACCTGGCTCCGGTTTCAGACCCAGAAACCCCAGCTAACCTTTACTGCTGCAAGTTGCAAATTCAAGAAATCCACCAGACTCCACTCCAGCACTCCTCCACCAGGATCCTCATTCCTTCTTGTCTCCAGTCTCTAAAAAGATGTACAATCTTTTGAGCAAGCAACAACAAACTTCATTGAACATAACCATACACAGAAGACAGTAAGAAAGGACATCTTGCTTGGAGTCCTATAAAGCCAGCTTTCAGTTTTATGTGATCTAATTTTGCAATGACATAGCTCTCTATGCAATAAACACTCTGCAGCTATACCCAGAGTACATAATTCCCGTTTACGGTACACAGTCCAACCTTGGGGAGGTGATGATCTAGGGGTATTATTGCTAAACTGTTATTCCAGAAACTCATTTAATATTTTATGCTGTTGGGTTTGAATTCCGTCATGACAGATGGTGGAGCTTGACTTCAATAAAAAAAATGTCTGGAATTCAGAATCTACTGACAACTGTGAAACCATTGTTGATTGGTGGAAAAACCCATCAAGTTCACTCATGTCCATCAGGGAAGGTAATCTGTCATCCTCAACTGGTCTGGCCTGTATGTGACTCTGCACCCAGAGCAATGTGGTTAACACTCAACTGCCCTCAGAAATGGCCAAGCAAGCTGCGCAGTTCAAGGGCAGCTAGGGATGGGCAATAAATACTGGCTAACCAATGATGCTCGTGTCCCCCGAGCGAAATAAAAAAAAGGGCATGGGATAACCTCACGGTTGTGCAGAAAGCACCAAAGATACTGGAAAAACAGGACAAGTGGCATCCTGGGAAGAAACACAACCACATGACAATTTGCTAACTTAGGTGGCAATCCTATAAGATACAAACATGGTTCATCACCCCAACCCAGTCTCATGTAACGACGCGTCAAAGTTTGTCTTGTAGTGTTTTCATATGCTCAGTGTGCTAAATTAGTATTTATATTTATATTTTATTCAAATATATGGTTGCAGATTGGCCCAGTAATTGATAATTGGGTTTATTATTTCCATGAAAGTGGACTGAATGAGTGTTGTAGTGTGTTTTGTTTTGATTGAGGGTAGCCCCAGTGTGGTGCAGCTTTAATGAGGGCTGGGGTTAGAGGTGAAAGGGGAAAGGGTGATGTTCCTGCTGCACAAGGAAGGTCTCTCTCTGTCGGTGTTTGATCTTCACGGGCTGCGGCGCAGTTAAAGGATGGAGGAAATAGAAACGGAGGAGGAGAGGCTGTTCAAAAGGCACCGTAAGGAGAGGAAAGAATTACAGGGTAGGTGAAGCCCGGAGAGCGGGGCTGCAGGCCGCTCCCTTCAGCCGGAGGCCGCTGCTGGCGGCGAGTGAAGGCCTGGGAGCCGTTCCCACCGCCTGCTGCTGTTTAACCCGGGCTGTGGAGGAGTGGGACCCGCCCCGTACCTCCAAACCCCGAGGTCAGCTTCACGGTTAGTCTGTGATCACAGCCGCCACTTTCTGATGCAAACAGGCCCCCTGTCTGCACCCGGATTGTTCTTTGCACACACAAGATAAATAACAGTGCTTCTGTCGCGAAAAATTATGCACGACCTTTTCTCCACCCTTACTCAGTTTGTGCACTCCACCCTTACTCAGTTTGTGCAAGGAGCATGCTTTCCACCACCGCTGGACATTCACATTGACATTTACCTTTTAATGTGTGTGCAACACTGAGGTTAGCTCAGTTGGCAGGGCAGCTGGTTTGTGATGTACTGTCACTGGATTCGCATTCAGTGACCCTCAATTTTTCCCAACCAGACTTTTACAAATAACAGATCTTGGACACCAAGATTGTGATTTGAACAAAAATAATCTGATTAATATCTCTGATCTAAGACCCTTCTTTTGAACAGAAGCCACCGCTCTCTCACTGACAGACAGGCACAATTAAGGGATAATTTTAAAAAAAAATGTAATTTGAGAGTTTGATAACTGTTTCAACAATAATACTGGGCCTTCATGAAATCCTTTGACAATGGTTTGTATTACAGACACTGAGTTCTGTATGTCTTGCTTGAATTCTGAAGTCACTAATTGATAGAAACAGCTTCCGCAGTCATCTCAGACTTTTACTTGTTTCTTCCAACTGAGATTCTTTTCTCAGAACTTACAACAAGTCAACAACTGGAGAGAGCAAAACCAGAAGACAGCTGCCCAATCTTCTAAAGCCAAAACTTCAGTCTGTCCAAAACCTAGTCAGTGACAGTTGACTCTTTGGTAGATAAACAGGAGGCTGGAAGAACACAGCAAGCCAGGCAGCCTCTGGAGGAAAGGAACAGTCAACATTCATGTATTACCTTCTTTGACTCTTTGGCTTCTCTTTCTTTTCAACATTCTTTGTGATTGGCTGGCCAGCAGTGGTCCTCCCTTGATTGACCAATTCAGTATCAAACCAACTGCCAGTCCTTCAGCATAACAACATCTCGGTGCCAAATCATCTACTGTGTTCTTGGCCGTAATTAACCTGCATTATCTTTCCAGGCCAGTTCTCAAAAGCAAATATCAGTCTTTTGTTTTTTTTTTAAGTATAAAAAACAAGCTGCTATTCAAAGTTCAGTTCTCAACTGCGACTCTCAGTTCCAGACCAAAAATGAGAAAAAAGCAAAATACTGATGGCCTCAACAGACTGTGGTCGTGATTTGTATTGAACCATCACAGTAATTATTTTGCGAGATATGTAGATTCCAGTGGAATGTGTTCAATTGGGAAAAAAAGTGTTGGGTGAAAGCAAGGGAGAAAAGAATAGTTATAAATAAGTTATGCTTTTTTTTTGTTTGTATGTGCAATACTGAGGTTTCTCAGATTCTCCTTCAATGGGAAGACCTGCTGAATGTATGCTAGTGTCATTCTTGAAGTCAGCTCTGCAAGCATTGAGAGAAACTCACACAATTCATTACAATGAACTCGACACTGTGGCTGGATCTTCCTGCAAAATCCTATTGTCTCAACTCTCTAATGTCCAATGCTCCAAGGAAGGAGAAAAAGAACAATACAGATGCTCTGAAGTTCTCCTGAAGTACAGCAGCAATGATATCAATGACTGGGAGTAGCTTGCTACTAATTGTTCAAAATGGCAACTACTTGCCCATCAAGTTGCATTATACTTTGAGTCCAAAAGCTTTCTTGATGAGGCAGAGAGGAAAAAAATGAAGCAAAGCCTGCTCTCCAGATCTCACTGCCTCATGGGACATTCTGCCCCATGTATCCAAAGATCAATGGGTCAAGATTTGGCCTGTTTAGTCCCAGGAAGACCTAACCAAAACCTGCAATTCTGTATAAGCAGTAACCTTGAATCAAAGGATAGGCAGTGATAGAGGCTTTGTTTTCTTTCAACCATTTGATCGAAATAGGGAAATTAAATTAATATGTATTGATTTTCTATCATTAATAGTGTTAAAACATTTTAACTATTTGTTATTTAGTAGTGCTAGGAAAAATTTGAACATTTGTAGAAGTAGGTGTTAAAGCTATTTAGTGTTTAAAACATTGTGAAGTTGATGAAAATAGATAATGCTCTTCCCCTTGAGTGACTGATTATATGACTCAATATTGACTTGTGTGCCACTCCACAACTTGAGCAATAATGTCTGCTGATATTGTAATATTGATAAATTTATCATCTCTGCATCTGAATGTGTTCACACTTCTTGGAGTGTAATCTCAGAGAATTCTTTGATTAAATGTGGAGGTGCCAGTGTTGGACTGGGGTGGACAAGGTCAGATATCACATGATGCTGGGTTGTGGTCCCACGGGTTTGTATGGGGATGTGGGCTTTGGGAGCCTCGCTGCTCCTTCGACTGTTGGTGGGATGGATAGTATCGGACGCAGAATTTGTGTGTGGGGGATGGGGTGTGGTCACACCATTGATGAGGGTGTGCTGGGCATGCCTGGGCTGCTGTTGAATCTTTAATCAGTTGGAAGGTTTTGGTTGATTGGTGTGTTTGTGTGGATCCCCAAGTTATTTTTGGGTCAGTGTCCTGGGAGAGCTGGGAGTTTTGTCGGTGTGGAGAGGAGGTGATGTTTTGGGTCGGGCAGTGCATGTTAGGTGTGAGGCCAAAACACAAACAGATTCTAAACAAAGTCTCACCCTAACATGCACTGCCCGACCCACAGCCCGGATGTCACCTCCTCTTTATACTGATAAAACCTTTACTTTTCTCAGGACAGTGACTTGGAAGGAATTTGGGGATTTACATATACGTATTAATCAATTAAAACTTTCTAAATGATTAAAGATTTAACAGCATCTTAGGTGTGTTTAGTTCATCCTCATCAGTGGTGTGACCCTTTGATCTTTTACTTATAAATTCTGTGTCTGATACTAACTCTCTCACTAACACCTGAAGAAGGAGTGAGGCTCCGAAAGCTTGCGTTTTCAAATAAGCCTGTTGGACTATAACCTGGTGTCGTGTGATTTCTGACTTTGTCCACACCAGCCCAACAATGGCACCTCCACATCATGGCTGTTAAAATAGTAAGCATTTATATTCTAGTCTCCATGGTGCCCCTTACATTTTAAGTTTTGGAAGAAAGCCTTTTTTAAGAATAGACTCCCTTAATGCAATGTGTTGTGAGACAGATTAGTTTAGAAAGCTGGTTGCTATTATTATAAAAATTAAGAGTAAAGGAGTTATAGATTTATGAAAATTTAAACATGCAAACTTGCTTCCTGTGTTTATTCCTTGAAGAAATCATAGTTATTTACAATGCTTTGCGAATGCTGAGCTATGTCAACTTCGTTTGTTCATTTGCCTGAGAAATGTACAAAAGTTATGAACTATTATTGAATTAATCTGGAGATTTTATCTTCAGTCTTTTTTATGGTTTGATTGGATCTCGATGTCAATGATGAAGCTAGCATTTGTTGCTCATCCCTAATTGCCCTTGAGAGAAGGTGATAGTGAGCCACTGCCTTGGAGCACTGCAATTTGTTGGGTGCAGGAATGACTACAGTGCTGTTTGTTTGGAAGGGATTTTGATCCAGTGACAGCAAAAGAATGGTAATATATTTTCAAGTCAGGAGGTATGTGGTTTGGAGGAGAACTTGCAGGCATTGGTGTTATCATACATTTCCTGTCCTTCTCCTTCTAGGTGGTAGAAATTGTTAGTTTGAAAAATGTCAAAGAAGTTTGGCATGTTACTGGAGATGCTGGTGTTGTCATTGGACAAGTAATCCAAAGGCTAATCTGTTCTAACATGTGTTCAGATCCTACCACTGCAGCTGATGGAGTTCAAGATCATAAGAAGTTGGCACAGACGTAGCCTATCAAGTCTCCTCCACAATTCAGTGAAATCATGGCTGATCTGATAATCCTTAACTCCACTTTCCTGCCTTTTCTCCATGACCCTTGATTCTGTTACTATTAAACATCCGCCTACCTTAGCCTTCAATATACTTAACTACCAGCCTAGACAACAGTTTTTTCATAAAGATTTCCACAGATTCACTATCCTCTGAGAACAGTAGTACCTCCTCATTTTGTCTTAAATGGGCAAGCCGTTACTCTGAGATTATGCCTTCTGGTCCCACAGGAGAAATAACCTTTCTGCATTAATCCTGTCGGGTCCCCTGAGAATCTTGTATGTTTCAATAGGTACCTCTCGTTCTTCTAAATTCCTTGAGTGCAGGCCCTCAAAAGACAGTTTCTCCCAGATTCAACGTAGTGAACTTTCTCTGGATTGCGTCCAATGCTGGTAAGCTTTCCTTAATTAAGGGGCCCAAAACTATTCATAGAATTCCAACTGTGGTCTTACCAGAATCTTGTATAGTCTCAGGAAGAACTCCCTATTGGTAGATTTCATGCCCTTTGAAATGCAGGCTAACATTCCCTTTGCTGTTTCTGTTACCTGCTGAACTTGCCTGCTAACTTTTTGTGATTCGTGCATGAGAACTTCCAAATCTCTTTCTACTGTAGGCTTCTGTAGCCTTTCTTCATTTAAATAATATTCAGTCTGTCTGTTGCTGCTGGAAAGTGCATGTGGACGCATTTTGTCTCATTATTTTCCATCTGCTAAGTGTTTGCCCAGTTGATTAGTCTGTCTATATCCATCCGATGCCTTTTTCTGTCATTCTCAGAACTTGCCTTTCCACCTAATAATTGTGGCACAGCACTACTCCTTGTGGTACTCCACTAATTATAGGTTGCCATCCTGAAATACCTCCCTTAGCCCAACTCTCTGTCTTCTGTTAGTTAGCCAATCTTCTATCCATGCTAATATTCTACCTGCACCACCGTGGGCTGTAGTCTTATTAAATAGCCTAACATATGGTACGTTATCAAATGCCTTCTGAAGCTCTCTATATATTACATTCACTGCTTCTGCTTTGTTTAGCATGCTTGTTACATCCTCAAATAGTTCTATTAAACTTGTCAGGCATGAGCTCCACATTGTGAATCAGTACTGACCCTACTTTATCATGTTACATTTTTCTAAATGCTTTGCTATTGATCATTTCTAATGGACTCTTAACATTCTCCCAATCGCAGATGTTAAGCTAATTGGCCTCTAGTCACCTGTTGCTTGTCTCCTTCTATTTTTAAATACATGTGCCACATTGGCAGTTTTCCAGTCCCCTAGGAGTTGTTTTCCAGATGTAAGGAATCTTGAAAGATTACTGCAGTACATCCACTATCTCTGCAGCTATTTCTCTTAATGTATCCTAAGATGCATCCCATCAAGTCCCAGGGATTATTGGACTTTAGCCCTATCAATTTCCCGAGTACATTTTTTTCTGATATAACTAATAATTATTGCAATTAATTTCCTCTCCTCCTTTTGCCTGTTGAATATTTAGTAATTTTGCAATGCCATTAGGATCTTTTACCGTGAAGATTGATGTAAAGTGTTTATTCAACTCTTGGTTCTCCATTTTTATTTTCTCAACCTCACTTTCTAAAGGTTAACTTTGGCAACTCTTTTACTTCTTATATATTTCAAAAACTCTTGCTGTTTATCTTGATATTACCTGGAAGTTTGCCCTTGAAGTTTACCTTCTCCCTCTTTTTCTTGGTTGTCTTGGTTTTTAAAACTTTCTCAATTCTCTGTTTACCACTAATCTTTGTCACAATGTATGTTCTTTTCTTTAACTTTGACGTTATCCTTAACTTCCCTGTGCTTAACCCCTTCCAAGAGTCCTCCTTCCTCACTGAGTTATATCTCTGTTGTGAACCAGAGCTATTTTCTAAAATATCAACTGTGGTTTTCTACTGTCTTCGCTGCAAATTCCCTTCCTGGTCTACTTCAGCTAGTTGTGCCCTCATTCCTTAGTTATTACCCTTATTTAACTTTTTGGCACAGTTGTTTCCAACCCAAGTTTCTTCCTCTCCAGTTCAATGTTAAATTCTGCCATGTTATGGTCACTGGTTCCTAGGGATGTTTTCCTCTGACATCACTTAGAGTCATAAAGGTTTACAGCATAGAAACAGGGAGGCAATGGCCTAGTGGTATTGTCACCAAACTGTTAACCCAGAGATCCAGATAAAGTTCTGGGGACCCAGGTTTGAATCCTGCCACGGGAGATGGTGGAATTTGAATTCAATAAATATCTGGAATTTAAGGATCTAATGATGACCATGAATCCAGTGTTGATTGTCAGGAAAAACCTATCTGGTTCACTAATGTTCTTTAGGAAAGGAGACTGTCATCCTTACCTGGTCTGGCCCACATGTGACTCCAGACCCACAGCAATGTGGTTGACTCTCAACTGCCCTGTGGGCAATTAGGGATGGGCAATAAATGCTGCCTGACCAGCAATGCCCTCATCCCATGAATGAATAAAGGAAAAAAAACAGACGCTTCAGCCCAACTTGTCCATGCTGCCCAGTTTTCATCATTTGCTTGCATTTGGTCCATAGCCCTCTGTACCAATCCCATCCAAGTACCTGTCCAAATGTATCTTAAATAACAAAATTGTATTCGCTTGCACCAGTACCTCTGGCAGCCTGTTCCAAACACTCACCATCCTCTGTGTGAAAAATTTGCCACAGTGGACTCTTTTGTGTCTCTCCTCTCTTGTCTTTAAATCTTTGCTGTGAGACACGAATTTATTAAACTTGCCTCATCACACGTCACCAATTCGAAAATAACCTGATCGCTAGTTGAATCCACAACATATTTTTCTAGAAAATTGTCCTGAATACACTCTATGAATTCTTCCTCATGGTTACCTGTGTCATTCTGACTAACCCAATTTATATGAGGACTAAAGTGTTTTCAACTCAATTAAAACTCCAATTTAAACTCCATTAAGTAATAAAATTCAGTTAATAATTCAGAAATTGAAATATAGCCACAATAAGTGTGATATTGAAACCATCATTGCTTGTTTTTAAAAACCTATCTGGTTCACCAATGTATCTTTAGGGAAGGAAATCTGCTATCTTTAGCTGGTCTGACCTCAATGTGACTCCAGATCCACAAAGATGTGTTTGACCCTTACCTTATGTTTTCACTTCAAAGGGCAGTTATTGGAAATACTTGGCATGTCTGGCAGTATCTATGGAAAGGGAAAAAAGTGACACTTTGAATCATAGAATCAGAGATGTTTTACAGCATGGAAGAACGCTTTTCGGCCAGTCGTGTCCGTGCCAGTCATCAAGCATCTATCTATTCTAACCCCATTTTCCAGCAGTGGGCCCATAACCTTTGAGTTACATATGATTCTCCTTTGACCAGTGAAACAGAGAAATAAGCATTAATTTGCACCAAACCATTACTTTGTATCTTTTAAATGAATTGCTTAATTTAATTACATCCTGTTTTCTGCATCTACGTAGAATGTTTTTATTTTTACATTCAAAGAAAGCAAAGTGCTAAGCATTGCATCTTCACTTTGAATCGCAGCGAAAATACAGGCAATGAAAAATGCTGTTGCTAAAAATGACAAGAAAAGAAGAAAACAGCTGGTAGAGGAAGTTGCAAAATTTGAGACTGAGTTGGAACTGAGGCATGAGGAGGAACTTAAACAGCTCACTCGGTCACTTGATAAGTCTAGTGCGGTGAGGAAATGGTTTTATATTTAGATTCATGAGTAACTAATCAAAAATTATAATTTACTATGTGGTGCTTTGTGTCCATGTATAAGCAACTTCATTTCTTTACAATCACCAGGTCATTTAGATTGTTTTAAAGTCATTATTTCTACTGATTTTTGTGCTATTTTATGTCCTGATGCTTTACAAAATAACTTGCACAATAATAACAAGAAAAAAAATCAATGTTCATTTTTACTACTTGAGGGAAATATAGATTCTATATATCAGTTTGGTTTTAATTTACTTGATGCATGTAGTTAAGACTTCCTCAATTTGATTTCGATCATTTAGAATACAAAATTGTTAAACCATCAGGAAGCCTTGGTATATTATTTTTTTTAAAGTTTAGTCAGAGCTTTTCATTGGTAATGTGAAAAATGCTGCAAAGATATATTGAATTGGGTATCTGAGATATCTTTTATGTCCTGATAATATTATTTTTCATTAGGTTGAATCATCTACTAATGGAATTGCAAATTTAGAGTTGGAGATTGAAAATGGTAAAGCATTTAAGCAATCGCGGATTTCCAAGGCACAAAAGAGAAGGGTATGTTTTTTGACCTGAAATACTGTGGTCATGTTTTTCCTTTTGATTTGTATTAAATTAAAACGTGTGGTACATGCATTGTTTTAAGTTCACAGTAGTGTTCAAAGACACTTTTTCTATTATTTGATTTTAATCAATTTAAAAATATACCTATTTTCAACTCCAAAACAAGGAGAAGAAAGCTGCTCAGGACAGAGAACGGGAAGAGAGAATAGCTGAAGCTGAAATTGAAAATTTGAAAGGAGCCAGACACCTGGAAAATCAGAAACTTGCTGAAATCCTTGCTAAAAGGCAGTTACAGATCAGGCAGATCCCATCTGATGGTCACTGCATGTATAAAGCAATTGAAGATCAACTTAAACAACAGGGCAGTCTGTTGACCCTCACAGATCTAAGGACACAGGCAGCTGAATACATGAGAAGCCACGTGGATGATTTCCTGCCTTTTCTGACCAACTGTAATACAGGAGACATGTATACACCTGGTAAGTATTAGTGTACTGCTTCAAATGCTTGAAGTTATTGATTCTATTAAAAGTTAAATTATAAATATGATTGGAAGTATGATGGTTTTACACAAAGGGCAACAGTGTGATGTTTTTAAACAAAAATGCTGTTTTTTCTGTACTATTAGAGTCTAATAGTGTACTTAAATGAGCACATCTTCAGTGTTCTGCTCACAAGGCATTCCCAAATTTCCTGTACAAGATTACATTCCTGTCAGACATGAGTGAACTTTACCCCAGATTTTGTACTATTAAAGATAGCTATTAGCGTTTATTTTGTTAACAGTTTGGCATATGTGTGGTTAAATGTGGACATTCAGTAACTGTTGTCAGTGTTTCTTCAGGGCGTATTTGCCGAGGATTCCTCATACTGCGATGAATGAGAAATCTTTTCTACTGATGAGAATTTCCACTATTATTCTCTTTGGCTCACTGTTAAAACTCTTGTAGTAGTTGGACCCTGTTGAAAAATGTGTAACTGGACTTTTTAACAGCATATTAAGTTCATAATTATTGCTAAACAGCCTCACTGACCCTATAAGTCATTTCATATTTGCTTGTCACACTTCTCCATTTGATAAGAAATTTCCCATTTTGATATCATTTTAGAAAGTCTATGATATTTTAGTTTCTTTTATCTAGTATGTTAGTTTTGTCTTTTCTAGTGCATATATTAAGGAAGTATATTAATTCAGAATATCCACTATTTCATACTGAGATGTTTATATCAAATAGGTAGCTTCTTTTAGGTATGAAAAGGTGGAGTGCAAAGATGAGATGAAGTAAGTCCAGTTGAAAGTTTAGCATGATATTTGGGTTAAGTGGTATCCTTTTGTGTTCTAATATCAACATTTCTCATTCTTGAAGCTTGAATTCCCCTTTGAGAAAAATGGAGATGGGTATGGTGGGATAGACAGTGAAAATCAGCGATGCAAGGAGTTGGTAAAGCATGAAATTGGTCATTGATTTTTCTTTCAATTAATGAATTTATCTAAAACTTCCCATGAAGAAATGTATATGTAAATGTTTTGTTTTGATTTGATTTGATTTATTACTGTCACATATACTGAGATACAGTAAAAAGTATTGTACTGCATGCTAACCAGACAAATCATACCTTACATAAGTACATCAGAATATTGATGTGTAAACGTGTAAAGTATAAAGCATTAAAGATTGAAATTTTCTGTCCAGAGAAGGAAGCTGGTATGAATGCATTAAAGGAAATTATGTATTATTCATTTGACAGCAATTCAAGATATTTTCAATCAAGCTGTCCATTTTAATTCTGATAAGGACCTAATTCCATTTTTATTCAACATCAAACTAATTTTACCTCAAACCAGCATTTGATCAAGGACTGAATGTTATGTGCCCCTGCCACGTGCTTTTAAGGTAGGTGAGTATGTAATGTCTGCCACTTCCCCATCCACCACCCCTACTAAGCACCCCTGTAATCCAGGATTGGCACCAAAAATTGTAGCCCACTCACCACATGTAAATATATAGTTGAGCTTCTCAAAAGCTCAATTGACCCTGATATTACATTGCATATGCAAATATGGTTGGCATGCGTATGAATGAATGCATTATGTATGCCGTTCCCATTTTTAGAAACAAGTTTATACTATGGGATGGAAAGAGATCTGCTTTCTTCCATTTGTGATTCAGAGGCAGCCCCCTCTCCTCAAAGCCACACCCCAGAATACATCCTTCTCCCCACAAAATGTTCAGAATCTTCCATGACGCAAAATCATTGTCTTAGCTTAGGCCAGGGTTGTCAAGCCTCCTTGTGGCTCTGTAATGCCAACAGTGCCCACCAGGGAGGAAACCCTGTGATCGGGAAGTAGAGAGAGCTGTAAATTAAACAATATCAGGGAGGAGTCAAGCTTAAGTAGATGTAGTAAATCAAGGGGTAGAGTCAAAGCGGGAGAGCAAAATAGTAATGTGGGAAAGAGGATCAGAATTCCAGAAAAGGCTAGAAGGAATAAACCTAAGAATACACCACCAAGACTAAATGTTACAAAGATAACAACAAATGATGTTGTGACAAAAATGCTTTGCATCATATCAGAATTGTAACAAATGCTGGAGAAACTCAGCAAGTCTGGTAAAAATCTGTAGAGAGAAACATAGTTAATATTATGAGTCTGGTATGACTTATTCAGAACTGATAGGTGTTAGAAAATGTCTCTTTACATACTTTTGACAGAAGCAGAGGAGGTGCAAGGGGAACGATGGTGAGGTCTGGTACAAAAGACAAAGGGTTGTTAATGAAGGTGAAAGAGATGTAAAATGGGTGTGAATTAAGGTATGAAAGGGAGAAAATGGTCCTTCCTTATGAGAAAATGTCCATCATCAACATAAATTAAGTAAAATTAATATACAATGAACTCAAAGAGAATGAAGAAATTTATGAATAGGATTGGATGTGCTGGTGACCGGCTACACTGGTGTGCCACAAACTGGTAAGATATAGGTGTCTATTCATAATATTCCTCTGTACTGAGTTGGAAGTTGGGGTTAAAAATAGTTACAAACCTTTAACTTGAGTCTTTTGGTTGAAGAAATATGTTTTATATGATTTTCTTTGCAACTATATTTTTTCTGTATTACTTTAAGAAAAAATCTCTATTACAGAGGAATTTGAAAAATACTGTGATGAGGTAGCCAACACAGCAGCCTGGGGTGGACAACTTGAGGTAAGGAATTGTTATTTTACTTCAGCTACATTTAGATGATATTCTAATTCATAGTTAATATTAGCGGTCCTTGCACTATCCGTTAACTAATCACGCCCAGCACATATTGTGTTAGAATTATTGAGTGCTATCATAATTCTTTTGAAGTTGTATCCCATATAGGGTGGTTAGAAAGGTGTTTAGCACGCTTGCCTTCAATGCTCAAACCTTTGAGTACAGAAGTTAGAATGTTATATTGAGGTTGTACGGGATGTTAGTGAAGCCTCTTCTGGAGTGCTGTGCCCAGTTCTGGTCACTGGACAGGGTTCAGAAGAAATTTACCAAGATGTTGCTTGGAATTCAGACTTCTTTTAACTGGAGCACAGGAGATTGAGGGGTGACCTTATAGAGGTTTATAAAATTATGAGGGATAGGGAAAAGGTGTCTTTTTGCTAGGGTGAAGGATTTCATGACTAGGCAGCATACTTTTAAGGTGAGAGGAGCAAGATTTTAAAAAAAGGACATAAGGGGCAATATTTTTACACAGGTAGTGGTCTGTGTGTGGAATGAACTTCCAGAGGAAGTGATGGATGCTGGTAGAGTTACAACATTTAAAAAACATTTAGATAAATACATGAGTAGAAAAGGTTTGGAGGGATCTGGGCCAAGTGCAAGCAGATGGAATTAGTTTAGTTTGAGAATATGGTCAGTGTGGACTGGTTGGACTGAAGGGTCTGTTTCCCTGCCATATGGCTCTATGCCTGTCTACCCGATTGGCAATTGGAAGAAAAAAGCTAGGGCACGAGCACTGATCCTTGTGGTACCTCCCTTGTCATTGTCTTCCATTCTGAAAATAACCCATTTATTCCTATTCTGTTTTGTTTGTTTTTGTTAATTCATTCATGGGATGTAGGTATTACTGGGCCAACATTTATTGCCCATCCCAAGTTGCCCTTTAGAAGTTGGTGGTGAACTGCAGTCCATATGCTGTAGTTGCACCCACATTGCTGCTGGGGAGAGAGTTTCTGGATTTTGACCTAACAACACTGAAGGAACGGTGATATGATATGTTTCCACATCAGGAGAACGTTGGAGGGGATGCTGCAGTTTGTGTTGTTCTCATATATCTGCTGCCCTTGCCTTGAGATGGTAATGGTTGTGGGGTTGGAAGGTGCTGTCCAAATACCCTAGTCACCTTCTGTGCTGCACCTTGTAAATGGTATACACTACTGCAACTGATTGTTGGTGGTGGAGAGAGTTCATATTTACGGATGTGGTGCCAATCAAGTCAGCTGCTTTGTCCTAACTGGTATCAAGCTTCATGAGTGTTGTTGGAGCTGCAGGAAAGTGGGGAGTATTCCATCACACTCTTGACTTATGCCTTGTAGAAAGTGCGGTATTCTGAGCATATGATCTGCTGTTGTAGCCATTGTATTTATATGGTGGTCCAGTTTAGTTTCTGGTCAATAGTAACCCCCGGTATGTTACTAGTGGGGGATTCAGTGTTGGTAATGCCATTTAATGTTGAGATGCAATGGTTAAATTCTCTCTTATTGGAGATACTCAGTGCCTGGCATTTGTCCGGTGCGAGTGTTACTTGCCACTTTTTGACATGGACTGTTTCAGTATATGAGGAGTTGCAAATGGCGCTGAAGAATGTGCAGTCATCAGCAAACACTCTCACTCTTTCCTTAAGATAGTGGCAGGGTCATTGTTGAAACAGCTGAAGATGTTTGGGTCAAAACACTACCCTGAGGAATTCCTGAAAGATAACCTAAAGCTGAGATGATTGACCTCTAACAACCAGAATCGTTTTCTGATGTGCTCGGCATGACTCCAACCTGTGGAATACTTTTCCCCTGATTTCTTTTGTTTCCAGTTTAGCTAGGGTTCCTTGATGCCACATTCAGTCAAATCTGGCATTGATGACAAGGGCTGCCCCTCTCACCTCACTTCACCTCTTGAATTAGCTCTTTTGTGCAAGGCTATAATGAGGTCAGGAGCTGAGTCAGTGAGCAGGTTATTACTGAGCAGATGCTGCTGATGACCCTAGCCCTGTTGGTGGAGAGTATGACGATGGAACGGTTATTGGCCCTGTTGGATTTATCCTGTGTCTTGTGTGCGGAATGTCCCTGTGATTATGATCATATTGTACTTGTGTACAACTACTTACACATGCCAGAGCCATCACCTTATTGATAATGTTGATGGACCCATTCATCCTTTAATTCAGTTTATCAACCTCTTCCAACAAGTCTGCAAGCCATTCCTCTGCCTGTTTGTGCATTTTGGCAAGTCATTAATGTCTGAGAACTTGGGATCACCATTTGCATGGGGCTAGCCTCTGGCAGTCTTGAGTGACAGAGACCTGAGGCGTTTGGTCTTTGATCAACTGAAATGAAGTGTCTGAGCAGTTCATGCTCCCTCGTCTAATCTAGATAGAGTCCTCACCTGAGGTGAAAGTCTCTGAGCTTGTGGAGGATGCAGGTGGAAGCCTTGCTGGTATATTCTCCATAGGTTCCTTGTCGGAGATGGAAGTGAAGCTGGAGCTGAGGGTCTCCAGCGTTGGTTACTTTGCAAAGGTTTGTTCCAGTATTGCCTGCATCACAGGAGAGAATTAGTTCTCTAAGTGGGATAAAAGCACATTAAGAATGAGGTAGTGCTGGTATTAATGGAAGAGCAGTGCAATACAGCACATTGGGTTGATTGGCCATTGAAATCTCCCCGTTCCTATGAGAAGTTATGGGCCAATTTCTCTTGCTATGCGACAAAGGGAGGGATTCAATATGATGGAAGAGCAAGTAGTGATGATGTACGAGCAAGAGAAGTGGTAAGGTATTCCCAGTGAGAGTGTAGGAAGCCTAGCAGGCAGAAGTGGTTAGTAGTTTTGGAGATTAGATGAGCGAAAACCATTGAGAGGACATGATGGATGCAAAGATGTGTGTTTTAATCCATGAGCATTGGTGAGATGTGTGCGTGGAGTTTTTAAAAAAAAAATGGCATGGTCCTGTGAGTGTGACATAGCAGAGTGAAAGTGGTGACACACTCCCTTGTGGATTATTGACCTACTTCCAGTACTGCTGGACATCCTGCTTCATCTGATTTCAGCCCTGACCAGGCTGCTACATGGCTCCAGGCTGCCTGGTTATGGTGGCATAACATCCAACATCAGTGAGCTAGAAAAGAATGGTCCTCCTCTTCAAAGCCCTGTTCACCAGTACCTCCAGGTACCTGCCTGTGATGTAGGGTGTGAGCTTTCATTTCTATTTGCTAATGGTCCACCCCACAGTGTGAGGGGCAGATCCTAGCTTGCTAAGAGGATGTTTCCCCTCATGGGAGAGTCTAGATCCAGGGGGCATAGTCTCAGATTAAAGGGCTGTCAATTTAGACTGAGATGAGGATCCTAGCTGTGGAATGCAGCTGGGCTTTAGATAAGACGCCAATGGTGTGAATACTAGAAGATCCTGGCGTTAGTGAGCACTTCTGCCTTTTCTGCTGAGTGATTCCGCAAGAAAAACAGTTACATAATAAACAAAGTGAAGAACAAAAGGTTGCGTTAGAAAAGTTGCTCTGAGACATGGTGGACCAAGTTCAGTGAGCCAAAATAGATGCAAAAGCAGGGAAGGGGATACAAACAGTTTACGGAGAGATATTCATAGGTTAAGTCAGTGGGCAGAAAGTAGTCAAATGGAGTTCAATTTGTGAAAATGTGAGGTTTTTCATGTTGGAAGGAAGAACAAAAGAATAAGATATTAGTTAAATGTAGAATACTACAGAAAGCTACAACATGAACTTACCTGGGGGTACATATGCACAGAAAGCTAGCACACAGATGCAGCAGGAAGGCTAATTGAATGTTGGCCCTTATTTCAAGGAGGTTGGAGTAGAAGAGTAGAGAACTGTTAATGCAACCGTACAGGATGCTGGTGAGACCACATCTGCAGTACAGTGAGCAGTTTGTTCCTCTTCTTTAAGGCAAGGTATTGTTTCATTGGAGACAGTTCAGACAGCTTCACTAGAATGATCCCGACTGTGAAGGGATTGTCTTCTGAGCAAAGGCTAAACAGGTTGGGAGTCTACTCACTGGAGTTTAAAAGAATGAAAGTTGATCCCATAGAAACATGTCAGATTCCTAAGGGGTAGTAGGAACTGCAGATACTGGAGAATTTGAGATAACAAGGTGTAGAGCTGGATGAACTAGACCCGAAACGTCAGCTTTCCTGCTCCTCTGATGCTGCTTGGCCTGCTGTGTTCATCCAGCTCTACACCTTGTTATCTCTGATTCTTAAGAGGCTTGACAGGGTAACAGCTAAGAGGATGTTTCCCTTCATGGGAGAGTCTAGATCCAGGGGACATATAATCAGATTAAAGGGATTCCAATTTAGACTGAGATGAGGAGGATTTTCCTCAGAGAATTGAGACTCTTTGGAATTCCTTGCCACAGAGAGCTGTGGAGTAGAGCTCTTGTGTATGTTTAAGACTGAGATAGATAGATAGACACATACATACGTACGTACTTGAATGTTTGATCAGTAGGGGAGTTAAGACAAACACTGGAAGGTGGTAGCCGTGATGCTTGTGAATGGCAGAGCAGCCTTGAGAGGCCTGTGCTTTTTCTTATGGTCTTCCAACACATTAACCGAAAATGGAAAAATCTACCCGATGTTGTCTTATTACATCGATGATCTGAACAACCGTGAAGGAAGTCTTTCCAGATTTCAGTAAGAGTATATTTGTATGACCATGACATATTTTTGTGGTGTGTAATAGTATCTTACACAAGTGTGGTAGGAAGTCAACTTGATCTAAATATCCTTGAACTCCAGTAACCACCTCAAAGGGGAAGTTACCAAGGGTATTCTTGTTCTGATTTCATTCTTTACAATGATTATCAGAATCAGTTTTGTTTTCCAAGCATAGAATTGAAATTCAGACACAATTCTAGAACCTCTGTTTCAGTGATTGTCTTTATTAGGTTTCTTTAGCTTGTCAATTCAACCTCAGTGTTATTATTTCATCTCTTGTAGTGATACCACAGGTGTTGTTTGTCCTTTAAAATAAATGCATGAATTAGTTCATTTAGTTTGGAAAGACTATCATTGTTTAGTTGAAATTAAATATCTTTCTACTATGTACTTTTGCTTAATCTTTCAAACCTTTAATGCTTTTGAGATTTTTTTTTTCAAACAAATGTCAATAGAGAATTTAGTTTCAAACCAAAGCTTTGTGTACTGTGATATAATTTGTTTAGGTTAAACTAACTTCCTATCCCAAAGATGCAGGACTGTCTATTAACTACACATACTATCTTGAGATATCTTACATTTTTAGGTTTAATTCAAAACTGTGAAATGGTAATAATATCTGAATTTTTTTCATACATGATATTTCTTTAATTCCTTGTAGTTGAGGGCTTTGTCTCACGTTCTGAAAATGCCAGTGGAGGTGATACAGGCAGACTCTACTCCAATCACTGTAGGTGAAGAGTATGGAAAGAAACCAATAATTCTAGTGTAAGTAGAAACCCTGTAGGATTTTTCACTACAAACTAAAATAATACATGTCAAGTTTTTTCCCATCAAGTTGAGAAAAGTTTACTGGGGCAGGTATTCCGATTTACAAAGAGGTCTCTTCTGGTTGTGCGTCAGTAATGAGTTGGAAGATGACTTATTCTTATGGTTGCAATAATAACTGGTATGAATCGACTATTGGATGACTTTACATTCACTTTAAAGAGTTGAGCATCTGCTCAGAAAAGTGTAGTTCAGAATAGGAACTAAGTTTCATTCATGTTTCTCACCTATGTAACGTAGTTGCCTCTATCTGATATCTGTAGAGTAGGTAGGTCAAACTTTCCATTTCATATTTAGGTCCCTGTATTAACTTTCAGCAATGAGTGATTTCATTTTAGATTTACCTGCAATACTTCCTGGCCTGAAGATTACACTATGAGTTAAAGTTAGATGACAGTGTAATGCTTTTTGTATTGGAATTAGCAAAACTTGAAAACAAAAGATAGAAACAATTAAAGGCCAATGTATTGTTAGAAAATTATTTTTCAATTAATTTTTTAGCGCAGGTTTCCCCCAGATTAATTTTTGATTTTAACATCACTCGTCTCAGTTATCAAACATTGAAGTTTTAAATTCCTTTTTTTCTTCATTTAATGTTTCAGTCCTGACTTTCTGCTGCCCTCTTGCTGCTTCCCACCACTGACTTCTTATCCACTGTTCCTTTTATAAATTTGACCCCACTAAAAGATAATGCCACCTACACATAGCCTTGAGTGCGTACCCCTTGCTGTGAAAGTAGTTTGGCTGTATGTTGTTGGTTTATCAAGTTGTTGACAACTTAATAAGAGCTGACAAAAGCCCAGTGTGTTCTGACACTTCATAAGTTGACAATGAACATTTCTCAGTGGAGGAAAAATGAAACAGTAATTGCATCAAAGACACTGTCATAAATTCCTCAATTTAATGAGTCAGAAGTCAGATATATCAAGAGTTGTGTATCTACAGCTGCAACAACCATCTATATACTTTAATTTTGGAGAGTACAATACTTTAATATAAAGGTAGTATTATAGGATAAACATTTCAAATATTAAAGATTAGATTAAACAAGAAATATTTGAATTGCTAGCAATATCATTTTAATTATGAAGAATAAATCTCTTGTCAGTGTATGTCGAAAGGCTTGCTATCTTGTAATAATTGGGTTGCTAGTGTAAAAAGAAATGAGTCAGCAGTTCAACCACTCCTGGGGCTGTTGTAAAATTGGAACTAATTGAGCTAATGTTGTTTATTCTTTTATAAAAACAGTTTTTTATACGGTCTTACAATATTGAATACTTTATTCTTGTTTACAGGTACATGAGGCATGCATATGGTTTAGGAGAACATTATAACTCTGTAGAACAATTAATTGACATACCTACAGAAGATGTGTGCTAAATATTGATCAGTATTTGCATTTTATTTCTTACATCAAAGTACTGGAATTTCTCTGGTGTAATTTTCATGTTGAGCTGAAAATTGTGCTGCGTGCACAGGCTCATGTGGAGAATTTGATAAAGATAATGCCTGTTCCAGTTTTTTTCTTGATAAACCATTTAATGGTGTGAAGACCAGCAATAAAAGCTGAATTAAGACTGCATATGCTCATTGAGGTTAAGTAATGTCAGTGATCTTGCTCTTCAGTATATGCTGTGCATAGTGAGACAAATAAAAATTTCAGATGTGAATAGCAATGGAGATGAACCCTGTAGGTTGTCTCAATTGGAGATCCACAAAGTGTTCTGTTTCAAAAAAAAAGCTGTTCTGTAGCACTTCACTTCTACTTATCATTCAATGCTGTAGCTCAAACATGTAATGCACACTACAGATTTTGTGCCATTCGATTTTACAACAAATGTTTGCAGGTTGCAAAGATTTATCCATCTGAATATTTTTCTTAACTGCTGAAAATGACACTGCATGCACCATGAGGATTGGATAAAATAAGTTGAGATAATTTATTAAAAATCCACTTTTCGGGTGTTGAATTGGAATCAGAAACTGCTTCTTTCAATCACAGAATGTTGGCTATCAAGTTTTCTCCCCTATGTATACACAAATGGGATATGATACTCTTTACTGCTTCACCCACATGGACAGTTGTTGAATATTAACCCAGAGTTTGAGTGTTGATAGACATTGTCATGTGTGTTCCAATTTTGACTAGATCCATACGTTCGTTCTAACAGAAAGCCGTGCATAAATATCAGGAGTTTGACCTCCAGCAGGCACATCAAAAGAATTGAAGAATTTTTTTAACTTTCCTGAATAAACATAAATGCCATTTGTAGCTTTTAAAGTGATGAACATGCACCTCTGCAGGAAATGTATATTCCAATGCAAAACTAGAAGTACTTCCGTGAGGGCAAAGAGATGTTTGATACAGCTTGAAGACAAGATGCCTCAATATGTCAGATATGTTTGGAGTTCTGCATTTGAATTTATTAAGAACTTACCACCAACCATCTTGAATAACCCAACAATGTAGTAAACAAGTTTTATGATAATTAAGACTGAAGCGGTTGCGAATACGTTATTGTTGAAACAAAAACAGGAATTGCTGGAAAAGCTGAGCAGGTCTGGCAGCATCTGTGGAGAGAAAAACAGAGTAAGTGTTTTGGGTCAAGTGATGCTTCCTCAGAAAGGACCAGAAGAAAGATTGGAATGGAGATCCTGTCAGAGAAGAGGAGAACTTATTCAAGGCGATTTGATTTTGCTTCATTTACAGTGAAAAGATTTGTTTGCGAGCAGTACTGGCAGATCACAGTAAGCAAGGACAGACAGATCATAGGGTGAAGAAAACCTGGACAGAGTGAGGCATACAGGTTACACCGCACAGGACATGTGCAAGGCAAGATCAACATTATTTGAAGTTAGACAGTCCATTCATCAGTCTAATAAGATGTTCTTGAACGTGCTAGTGCAAGTGTTCAAGCCTCTGTGTCTTCTACCTGACGGAAGAGGTTGTAGGAGACCATTACTGGGGTGCAATGGGTCTTTATGATGGCAGCCTTTTCACAGCAACAGGAGGTGTAAATGGAGTCCATAGATGGGAGGTTGGCTTCTGTGATAGTCTAAGCTGTGCAAACACCCTTCTGTAGTTTCTTACAGTCCTGGGCAGAGCAGTTGCAGTAGAAGGCCGTTATGCACCTGGACAGTACGCGTTCTAGGTTGCATCTGTAAATTGGGTGAGGGTCCTTACGGACATGCCAAATTTCCTGAGCTGCCTAAGGAAGAAGAGGCATTGTTGTGCCTCCTTGACCATTGCATCTATGAGGGAGGTCCAGGACAGGTTGTAGGTTATCGTCACTCCAAGGTGGGCATACCTAGAGGAGAAGTGGCAGTGAGTTTAATACTAAATAAAAATGAAAAGAACTGCGAATGCTGTAAATCAGACACAAACAGAAATTACTGGAAAAGCTCAACAAATCTGGCAGCATCTGTGGAGAGAAATGAGAGTTAACATTTCGGGTTGAGTGCCCCTTCCCCAGAACCATTCTGAGGAAGGGTCACTTGACTCAAAATGTTAACTGTGATTTCTCTCCACAGATGCTGCCAGATTTGTTGAGCTTTTCCAGTAATTTCTGTTTTTGTGTCTGATTTACAGCATCCGCAGTTCTTTCGGTTTTTCTTTAATGTTGAAACTTGGGTGGCTGTTTATTCAATAATGAGACACATCAAAACAAATTCTTTTTTTAGAGCATGAGTAATGCTTGTTCTACAGTGATCAACACTTGGTGGTTCCATTATTGGACAAAGTAAGAAACTGCAATTTGCACATCTCTAGTGTCTTTTACCTAACAAATTGTTCCAGGATGTTTCACAGGAACCTGGGTGACATGGGCAGGAAGAGGGAATCAACTGTGTGATAGATATTGTGGTAGGGGAGCTGGTGATGGCGTATATCTCTGGACTAGTAATTCAGAAACCAATCTAAAGTTCTGGGAATATGAGTTTGAATTCCACCATGGCACTTGGTGAAATTTGAATTTAAGGAAAATCTGGAATAAATAGCAAGGTGACCAGGTAACCATGTTGTCATTAAAAACCTTTCTGGTTCACAAATGTTTTACAGGGAAGAAATTCTGCCATCCTTACCTGGTCTAGACTATAGGTGACTGCACACCCACAGCAATGCGATAAACTCTTAACTGTCCTCTAGGCAATAAATGCTGGCCTAGTCAGAAATGATCACATGAACAAAAAAAGGCAGATTTTCAAAGACTTTTGAAGAACAGGAGAGATATGATTAGGTGAAAAATTTAGAGTCATAGATTGCATACGTTTGGAGTTGATATGAGGTTTCAATGAGCATTTCAAGATGAAGGGCTATGGGGATGTGACCTGGTCATTGTACATGGTGGAAGACACCGTGTATGATGGTATGATTATTTTAAGTACATAAAAAAATGAGAGCAGGAGTAGGCCATACAACCTGGAAGCTTGCTTTGGCATTCAGTAAGATCATGGGTGATCCACCTTTATTTACCATTTTGTGCCTTGATTCCCTTAGCGCTAAAAGCTTAATAGCTGTTTCCTATGAACATTCACAATGACTGTGGGGTAGAGAATCCTGAAGATTCACAGCTGCCTTGAGTGAAAATGTTTCTCCTCATCTCCGTCTTAAATAATTGGCCTCATATTTTGAGATTGTCCCCCTTGTTCTGTACTTTCTAGCAGGGGAAAAGGCTTCCTTGTATCTACCCTGTTAAGCCTTCTGTGAATGTTAAACACTTGCAATTATGTTCTACTTTAAACTCCATTGATTATACACACATTCTCATCAATCTCTTCTCATGGGAAAGCTGACTTATCCCAGGAAGTTCCTCTAATTTAAAACCTTTTGTGCATCTCTCAAGTTAAGCTCTTCCACCATTGGCTCCAAACTTTGGAAATGTTCCTCTACACTTCTCCATCTTGCTTCCTTCCTTGAAGACACCGCTTAAAAACTACATTTTTGCTCAAACCTTTGGACCCCTGACTTGATATCTCTCCTGGTTTAATGTCATTTTTCTCTGCTCCTATACACGTCGTGGGTTAAAGGGGCTATATAAAAAGTTGTTTTTGTTTAGTCAGTCTGAGCTAGGCATTTTGTGGTGGAGTGATCAAAACAACAGCACTCTAGGTGTTGCTTCACCAAAGTCTGGAATAATAGTAAAACTTCCTTACACTTTTATTCTAATCAATTTACAGTATAGGTTAATTAATTGCTTGCTGTGATTCATTTGCAAGGACACCCGAATTCCACTACCTACCAATATTTAGTGATATTTCCCCATTTTAAAGAAAAAAAAAAGTTTCTGTTCTTCATAACTGACTGGATAATTTCACATTTCCCTAGATGTCTGTCTGCCACCTTGCCTGCTCAGACAACCTGTCCATATTTCTTTGTCATTCTTACAGCTTACTTTGCTACCTATCTTAGTATCAGCAGCACAAGCAGGGGAGATAGTGTGCTGGTAATGTCGTGAACAGTAGTCTGGATTTGAATCATACTGTGGCAGGTGGTAAAATTTATTATTTAAAGAAAACGTGGAATTAAAAGCTAGCCTAATGGTTACCACGTAATAATTGTTTTGTCATAAAAATTCATCTGGTTTACTAATGTCCTTTGGGAGGGAAATCTGCTGTCTTTACTTAACCTGGTCCACACATGACTTTGGATCCACAGCAATGAGGTTGATTTTTAATGGCTGTCTGAAATGGCCCAGTCAGTTCAAGGGTAATTCAGGATGAGCAATATACTGGCCTTAAAGGACATGCCTAGATCCTCAGCGAATTTAAAAAAAAATAAAATATATTATAATTCCAATATTTCTGGAAATCTATTGTTCATTAACACCTATAGCTTAGAATTTTTTAAGCAGATGCATACAACTCATTATCACTTTTGTACAGTACTTTGGTGGAAACATGGAAAATACAGTATTTGGATCAATAAAACAATTCTTATTCCTGGTGTATGTGGTTTAATCACTGTTTTATTTCTATGTTATATTTTCAGATCACATACTTGTGTTTAAGTATTTTATCATTTTTGTATAATCCAGAAAATACCAAAATATAAAATGACGTGGCCTGAAGCATTCTGAACTGAAGTACATTACTACACAGACACTCCCTTCATTTGCGGGTTGTGAATAGTTGAGGGACAAGTAGGGCTCCTTGTGGTACTTGTAGCTGGAAAACAGGTCCAACTTTCTGAGATAGTAGGAACTGCAGATGCTGGAGAATCTGAGATAACAAGGTGTAGAGCTGGATGAACATAGCAGGCCAAGCAGCATCAGAGGAGCAGGAAGGCTGACGTTTCGGGCCTAGACCGTC